TCCAATTGAATTCAAAAAAATGTTCATTTTGTCGAAAAATAAACAAATTAATTTTGAAAATAATTAAAAAAACATGTGTCGAATGCTTAACCGTATAAATAAAGAAAAACGGAAACTTTAAGAGCAGACTGTGGATATTCGTGAAATGCAAGAGAATCTATAGACCTGAAGATCTTGAAGATGTAGTTTATAATACTGTAATAAACTTATACAAATGGATATTTCAGATCGCATTGACAAATTAGGAATCACAAACTTAATAGCAACTAAAATTGTAAAGCTCTGTGAGAAAGGTGACGGATACTCTTATGTTTATCATAAGAAGTATTATAACAAACAAACAAAAGTATGACATTCACTTATTGGTGTAATTGCTGTCAAGAGCTAGAAAAAAAACTAAAGTTTTAGATAGTTCTAAGCAACGCAACACAGAGTCACGATTGGACCGTTATGATTGTAGAGATGTTATTCTTGTTAGAGTTGATTTACAAAATAAATTAGCATCAGTAACATTCTTTAGGAAGGTTTGATAGATTCATTTATAATTTATTTTGAAAACGGAGAATTCAAATTATTCAATAATTAAAGAAGCTAAAAAAACGATATGGAAGAATATTCGCATGCCAGCTGACCGTGCACAATAATTTTTGACAACGATATTATTGCAAAAAATAACAAATCAAATAAAACAGAATTGAAAAGTTCGATCAGCATAAAAAACTCTTCATGAGGTATAGCTTATTTATTATTTGTTATCGAATTAATTATACATGTATAACATAATAAAAGTATTATCAATATTACTCTAATATAGATGCTTGAAAGCCTTATTACCTTCCACAGCAAAGAGAATAGTTGAAAATATTGAATCAAACTTCAAAACGATTCAAAATATGGTAGACAACATAAAAAATCTTGAACCAAGCAAAAAACCTGGAATAAACGAAACAAGAATACTTTTTATTGGTAATAAATATAAAATTCATAAATATTTCATGTTATTGTATATATTTGAACAAACATTGGCATTTTTTTTTTTACGCAATAAAAATCTTTTATAACTGATAATTAAAATTTTAAATTTTACGCAATATAGCTTTATAATAAAATTTTTTAATAAAAATTTTAAATCGTTATAATATCTTAATAATAAAGGTTTTTATCGTTATATATCGATATAATATAATTTGTGCTGGATTATAAGATCTCAGATTTTAAACAACGATTACGTAACTGATTTTGGTGGTCATGCTAGGGGGGTTTTAAATAACACGCTGATGAGTTTTTATTATGATTCGAAAAACGGAGAAGCCGAATTATATAAACAAATTAAAGAAATTAAAGACTCGGGTAAAAATTTCTCAATAAATCAGATAAAGTCGGCACGACTCAACTATCAAACACATCACAGGCTATTTACACAAGTCGGCTTTTTAATCTTTCAAATCTTCCTGAGCCAGGTAATAATATTTATTTATATTTTAAAATTTTCTTATTTTTTGAAATGTATTAATTATAAAAATTTTTGATTGAAATATAGTAAATGCAAGTAACGATATTGTCTTAGGAAGTCGACCCATTGATCAAGTTGAAATTCCTTATGTTGAATAACTATATAGTATTCAATCATTTATAAATAAAAAAATTCATTACTCATTTTATATTTGTATGATATTTAGATTAATAAATCGTATCTTATGCAAAAATTCTATTAAAATACATATTTTATTAGTCGTACGTACAGTAATCACATTTTTATATTTTTATTCACATATATTATTTACTCTGTAGGCATCGGAACTTTATAAATTTGCTATAAATAAAAATATTGTAGTTATATGCTTAAATTTTATGGGTTTTCTGATCAATTATGCCTTCTCTTTCAATATAAATATTATTTTGACCAGTTATAGAGCTTGCTGCAAAATAATAACCATAATTACCACCAAACTTCTTTATAGTCACCTCCTATATAAGCATACATTCTTTATAAGCACAATTTTTTAAAATTAATATTTATATATTAAGAAATTTAATAAATTTGACCTTATAATTGGTAGACTTCTCTATAATCACACTTTTTTGTATTTCAAGAATGTGACTATAGAGAGGTTTGACAGTAATTTTTTAACTCGAAATATAAATGTTTTATTGCAAGAAGCTAAACCACTTTTAATAGAAATTGGCTTAATAATTGTTTTAATTTATAAGATAAAGTAATAAACTTGGTTATTTAAAAAATATCTTAGATAATTTGTAAAATAATTTATTTAGGGTTGGTTCGGTCTTTAGACCGGATAGGAACCAGTCTTTTTAACCGGTTATAGGTTTTTCAGTTTTAGTCTTTTAATCAGTTCAGACAGGTTAATAATAAACTATGCATGAATTTATTCGATAATGATAGCTTAAAATGATAAAGTACTTTCGTAAAAATAGTTTATTTTTGAGACCAGGGACCAGCCTGACCGTCTGGTGGTTATATTGGGATTGGTCTTATTACTGTATTAGAGACTGGACCGAACCGATCCAACCCTATACATATTCCTTTGTTAAAAAATACATGATTAAACTATTCTAAATTTAATACAAAATTATATACTACGTATACCATAAAGATAAAACGAATAATAAAAATACTACCATAATTTCTATTATCAGTGCATTTTAAATTTTCACTTCACAAATTATTTTCCCATTCATGAAATTTGGCAAAATAATTTGAGGAATTAATGGAATGTTTTTTCAAAGTTTAATCAGCAAATTATGATTCTCAAAAAGTGGTTCAAATATTATCATTATGATCCAAAGTATGTAGAGAGAAATGGGCTATAAAGGCCATTGAGATACGGTTTGTCATACTGTTAACATAATATACTATTAGACTAACTTATAATGTGCATAGAGTTGTTCTATAAGTTTGTCCGAAGTCTCTTTTATATTATACCAGTTTCGGAGAAAAATAAAGCGAATAATTAGTGAAAGACAAACCTAGTTATTTAACTTTACAGCTGGAAGGGTTTATACTGTACTATCATTTAAATAAACTTTACTTGTCTAAGAAAATCGCTTATGATACGTATAATTATGCGTAACAGCTGTAGAAATAAGTAAATACTGTATATAATTGATACGTATAAGACTAACCTATGCAATATTTTTACTTAGTTCGTCGTTCAACTGAACAAGTTGACGATAAATTGTGGGGATATTACGCAATATTGGTTAATTATCGTGTGCTAGCATACCAGATATGTAAATTTAATATAATAACAATAAAGTTAAGGAGTCTAGTAATGTAATACAATAATAATATGCTACTAGTGCATTTAGTGAGAAAAAAAGCGCGTTTTTTTTAGAATTTATTATAATACAGTAATAAAATTAGGTAAATGTATGCACTATCAAAAATAAGTAAACAAACACGATCATGTGATTGATCGAACAAAATAAATAAATAATTTTTTAGAGAGAATATTATTATACCTTACACAAGATGATAAAGGAAACACCACTTCAAGAACTTGCCAAAGAACTGAAATTTTTGATAAATAATCAACTTTACAGTGATTTAGAGATAGTTTGTAAAGATGGAGTGATTCTTTTTGGATCTAGAGCGATATTAGCAGCAAGATCTAAAGTTCTCGATGGAATGCTTTACAATGGAATGAAAGAAACACACGAAAAACGTGTAAAATTTCCTAATATCAACTCTAAAGTTTTTTTATTTGTGTTAGAATTTATATATACATCATCTATTACGAATGATTCCTTGACATTTGAAGAAGCAATAGAGATTTATCGCGCAGCCGATTTTCTTCAACTACCAACTTTACAAGATATTATTATTAAATTTATCAAGTACTACGTTAACAAAAATAAGCAACTGGCACCAAATTTATTAACAGAAGCAGTTCGTTCCTCAGATATATTAGCACATGGAGTTCTCATTAATACTTTAATTGAGATTATCGCAAAAATTCCTCTGGATTCAATTACATTTGAACGTTTATCAATTCAAGCATTAAATTGTTTACTCTCAGCTAGATATGATAGAAAAGTTCAATTTTTAACACAAGAATATCATGTATTACGTTATGTAATACTTCACACAGCAAACATGATCTCCAAAGAAGCACATGAAATTTTTGAATTAAAAATACTTAAATTGGAAAATTTTGAAAAATCCGAAGTTGGAAATCATGATGAAATTAGTGAATTGAATAAATTTAATTCAAATATTACAAAGCAAATAACACCATTGCTTAAATTTATAAATTGGAATCATATAGATAATAAAATTATTGAAGAAATAATTCAACCATTAAAGATCGTACCAGAAGAAATATTGAAAGAAGCATACACTTTTAAAGCGAATAAAAGATTAATATTTAAGGAAAAAAATGGAAACCCTTTTAAATTTGATAGTGCATCTAGTGGAAAGCAACTTATATTTAATGAAGATTATTCAGAAGTTTCATCAGTGGTAACTAAACCTGAAATGATGATATATCAAAGTGTAAGAAGTCAATATATTATTACAGAAAGTGGAGAACATGAATGGGAAGTTATAATAGAAGAGATTGGAGACGCATCTAATTGTTACATCGGAATCTGTGATGAATATTGTGAATTTAACACATTTTTGGGAAATTCAGTAAACGCATGGGTATTTAATCGTCAAGGAACTTGTTGGAATAATGGAATTTTTAGCCGATATGGAAGTGAATTTAATGTTGGAGATACGATAACGGTGCACGTTGATATGGACCAACGAACATGTGCATTCTCAGTTAACGGCAAAAGACATCCACCAGTAAATTGGACCAATCTTCCATCGAAACTTTATCCGATTGTTTCATTCAGGAACTCTGGACGTTTGCGAATTCAATCTCATGTGAATTAATTCGTAAAATGTTTGTAAGAATCTAGATAGGATTTATAAATGTTTTTTTTTTTGAAAAAATTTTTAATTGTTAAAAGTTAATCTAATAATTATATGTGAATTATTATTCGTTTTCTAGATTGTTTTGTCACTTTTGGAAAAATTCTCGACTTTTTTTTGTTGTACAGCATACCACACGATAGAAAGAAAAGTCTTTATTAGATGTAAAAATGTATTGAACGAAATATACGCTAGTATTACTATATTTCTTAAATTAGATCTATCTCATCAGTTCCAGAAGTTAATAAAAATAGAACCTTACTAAAATCAATCATTTCTGCTTCATTCAACAATTATTAAATTTTTAAACCGATATCTAAAAATTCGAAATGATGAGTCCTTTAACGTGTATAATTACTGTATCTCAACGTTCATGTATTAATATTTACTTTATTATAAAGCTATATGTTAAGATATAATACATTTTCATTAGCGGTGTCGCTTATTAATGATACTGAGAAATTAATAAAAAATTTTCAAAATGTCGTTACCGAGTTATAACATTTTATATGTAAGTTATTAGAATTTAGTAAAGACAATTCAAATTATATAAAATTGAATGGTTCTAATTACCTGAACTACAAAATAAATTTTAGATTGAATATTATAATTCGCGTATGAATAAAAAAATAGATAGTGTATAGGTTATTTGTTTGCGGACTGAACAAAACACCCTTGTTTAAGTACTGAGCCATCAAATAATTATTATGAGCCTGTTGAGTCTCATAACATACATTAGTCAGAGGCCCTAGTTGCTATTGCAACAATTTTTTGCATGACTAAGTATACACGTACAAATAACTT